TTTAGTTTTAGTCTGTTCAATAAATGTTTATCCTGTTCGGCCCGCGACCTAAAGCGTGCTTTGGGTTTTGGCCCCCTGTGCGATTGAGTGTGACACCCCTGCTATAGAGCATCCTTAAAAGGAAGGTCATTGGCTTTTGCCTAATAACAACACTGCATATCGGGTCTTGTAGAAACACGAATTCAGTGAGACTGGATCTGTCATTGAAATGTTTTAGTAAATATGTTTGACAAATAGTGAAAAAGGCCCACAATACCTCCAGGCTTAGAGTTGGATAATTTCACAGTAATGAAACATTTAGAGTCTCTTTCCTTTTGCTGCCTTGAGTTAAGATGTTTACCTTTGTTGCTAAGAATAATTAACCTGTTTCTATCTGGATCTTAAAAGCTTAGTGGAAAACACAGCCACAGTAACATAAGGCACTTGAAAAGAAAGTCATAGCCACAGCTTTTTGTCTTTTGCAATGAATATTACTGGGAAGTTCATCTTGCTGGGTTCTTGTCACATTCTGGGGTGTTTTACACACTCCAGTGATCCATGAACCATCCCCTCTTCACCACTGCTGTTGGTGAAAGCTTGTCTCATGGTAACACTTGGATAGCACTTTAATTTATGGCTTGTGTCTCAAACTGCTGAACAAGAAGATGCATAATATAACAGAATTTTGTAAGTGTTCAGATTTAATCAGCTGTAAAACTATATAACAGATTAGGGAAATAATTGTCTGTGAGGGACCTTTTAACATTGTACAGAGCCATTTGATGCTGTGTTAATATTAGAGATTGAAAGTTTAACTTTCCTTTCAGAGATCATAGACGCGTTTTTTCTCTACAGCCAGTTTTGCAGTAATTTGTGATGAGGTACAGGTCTGACTGTGAAATGGAGCCACCTTTCCCTCCCCTTTCTTTGTCGTTCCCAAGATGCTGCCACTGCCACGGCAAGAGGTAGTTGTCAGAATCAATCACAGAATTTTGTAGCTTAATGTTCAATTAGTATTCCAAGGTCCTTTAAATAAGCAGTTTGTCAACACTGTCGAGCACTCTGCACTGGCGAGCTTGTCCTTGGCATATGGACCAATCAAGATTTGATGAAGCGTCCAATCAACACAGATCAGAGGGAGCCTGCCAACGCTTACGTGTCTGTGTCACAGTTGGGTATTAATTTGATTTATAATCCTCAGTGTGTGCTTGGAGTGCATCATTGAAAACCACGAGACCCAAGATTACAATGAGACTTCTGGCCCCTTGTCTTTATTAGCTTGGCTGCCTGCCGGCTCGAAGAAGAGAAAGAGTGCTGGAGGAGGAACTTAGATACTCACCCCCATGTGGTGGCATTAAGAGGCAAGCAGTTGGGCAGGCAGACATGCTGGCTTGGTAGGAGATAAATACATTGCGATTGGTAGATAGGTGTTCACCAAGCTACATGTGGTGTGTGATATAGTGCGGTAGCTGTGCGATAGCTTGTTTCTTCTCTACAGCCTGGTGAAGCTCGCAGAGAATGTCTTACACTCAGCTTTTAGGAATCTCTTGCCAGATTGCAAAATTAAAGAAATTACACAGCAACAAATGCAGAAACACACTCAGGGTCTACGTGAGCACCTCATACAGTTGACAACATTATGCCATCTGGTTACTAACTGCAGGTAGCACAAATGCTGGCAAAATGAAGCAGGAGCACATACAGTACACACTAATGTTACACATTGCCAACCCTGTTCCATCAAAATCCACACACTTTGAAACACTTGTGTAACTAGTGTGCATTCAGGTGATATAATAGCAATATTACTGAAAGTAATTTTGTGTGAGTGTCTGTAATACTTTATTTTATGGCAGTTGAGTCTACTGTAGGTGAAAGAAATGTTAGAAATGTCTTTTTTTTTTTGTATGAATCTATCTGAATGCTCTATTGATGAAACAGCGGTTTTGGTATGTCAAACTAATGGGAGGGGGGAGAGATTTTTAAGGAGCCTCCTTGAAGATAGAGGAGAAGATCTCACTCTGGGATTCTTTTAAAATACTGCAGAATTGTTAATGTACAGAGGTCTTGTCTTTTGTTTTTCTAAGTATTTTTTGCACAGTTTCATCCATCATCCTTATTATTGTTTCCTTTGAGAGGACCAAGGTTGAACCTCATAATAATCACACAGTATCAGATTGTAAAAAACAAAGATCTTTGTAGCGGAAAAAGTCATCTAACCTTGAAAAATAAAGTTTGGCAGGAGACTCATGGAGAGGGAGCCCGCCTTCAGGACTCTCAGGCATGTGAAGAGGGCCAACAGCAGCCAAGCCACGATCCAATACTGATGCCCATCTTTGTCATCATCTGTGTCATGATAGAGATGATATGATAAGCTGACAGGCTCAGAGACCAAGAGGCTGGCGGATGGACAGAGAGGAAAGCTGCCAGTTAGACTGAGAGAAAGAACTCAACATACAGAAGTCTATAGAACCAGACAGTGTCTGACGTGACCACGTAGACAGAAAAATGTACTTTTGCGAGGTTTCATAGGTTGATGTGTAATAGCTTTGGAGGAGGGAAAAAGCCTGAAACTGAAAGAGAGCAGCCATGCTTCAGTGAAAGCTGGCACCTTTTCCTTCCTCACTTGTCATCTCTTCTGTTTGCCCTGGAGCTCCTCTTCTCAGCATCAACCTCCATGTCAGGGCTCATCTCACAATCTCATCCCCTCCTTGAGCTCATCTCTTGCAGCCTTCTGTCAAAGGTTATATAAAGAATAGAATCTTATTTTGTTCTACCTCATGTGTTCAGATAAAAGGAGGAAGAAGAGGAAGTAGTGCACTAAAGCAAAATATAAAACCAGTGTTTCAAAAAGCATCCTCAGTTTGTGCTGTATGCTTTTACTATATGTGCTCTTCTGAAACTATAAAAGGTTTGTATGTGTATGAGGACCGGCTGTTCAGTGTAGAAGACAGGCTTGTCCTGATGTCACACTTGAGTTAAAAAGGTGAACTTTGATTTGGTAGCATCCTCTTTGGGGTCATACCTTCCCTTCAACCCTGGCAATCCACTAGTGACTCTGTGAGCAGGGCTCCGGTGCTCACAGACTTGTGAATAAAAAAAAAACATGAGTCAAGGTTTTACTTGGAATTTCTAGAGTATAAATAATAAATGGGAGCTGGTAGCAATTTATGGTAGCTGGCATTACATGAATGACCATGTGCATTTGTTAACAGGTTCTTAGCATTGTATTATTAGATGGGGATGTTTATTTGCTTGGGTTTTTTTGCTGTAAAGTTTTATTATTTCATGATATTCATGATTTATTGTAATTAGTTATTTCTAGAGCTGGAGTTTCATCTATTAGATGCAAACATTCAATGCTGTAATCTGACAAAGTTTCAGCAGTGATGTTAGCAATAAAGAAAACAAAGGACTAAACCAAAATAAGTTGTTTTTTTGGGGTTTTTTTTTAAACAGGATGGAAAATTGTTACATTTGGCTCTTTTGTGGCAAGAATCACATTTTGTAACTTTTATTCATGTTGTTGATTGAGAAACAAATCAGTATGATTGCTTTTGTTCTGCGCTATTTATTTGTTGGCGCCTTAACTCGTTTCAGTGACAGCTTGACTAATTCCAGTGACAACTGCTGTTGTAATTAAAATCACATTATTCTACACGTCTACTAAGATCAGTGTAAAATAAAATTATGATGCTAATTTAACCATCATTTTCCAGCCATCTCTACTGAGCTGTTATTTGGAGGTGCGGGCATATGAGCTGCAGGATTAGGTGCTGAGACAAACTCTCTTGCCAAGTCTGTAGTAGACACTGCTTTGTGTTCTGTTTTCCAGATGATGAAGCACGCGTGGGACAGCTACAGACAGTACGGCTGGGGCCACAACGAACTGAAGCCCCTCGCCAAGAAAGGACATTCCACGAATATCTTTGGTAACCCAGTCAAACCCCTTTGTCCCACTGCTGTCTGTGCCTGTTGGCATCTTGCTCACATGGATGCATGCATGAATGCACAGCCACTCAGACACATACAGTATACACACATGAACACAAACACATCCTGTTTTTTTTCTTGTGGACAAGGTTATATGATGCCTATCGCTCTGGGAGGAAGAGAAGCACAGTGTCACTGAAGCCACCACACACATCACTGAAATGTCAGATTAAAAAAACCTTTATTTGAAGTATTTCACCAGTACTTATCCAGAGTATACATCTATGGTATAGTTATTTTGTCAAACTATAGAGCGGTGATGTATGCGCACAGTGATACTGTGTTAGTTGTTAATGAAGATGTTCCTATTTTAATTTTTATTTCTAAATTAAATAATATATACATATCATAGATGCATTGAATAATCAGCACTAATACTGATGTCTGAAATCTCATATTGACCATCTCTTTTTGTGATTTTATGCATCTGAAGACTGTTGTTTCCCTGGGCTTGTGTGTGTGTGCACTGCACTGGAGGTTGCTAGATGTGTGTGTGCGGCTTGAGGATGCATGCTTATGAGGGTTTTGCGTCAAATTGGAATGTTCTGTCTGGCAGATAGGTCAGAGACTCGTGTTATTATATGAGCCGCTGCTAAATGGGGGATAGATGCTGTTTGTGTGTGTGTCTTTATTTTTTTGTGTTCTTGTGTGTCTGTTCATCTGCAGCACCTCTATGTGTGTTTGTCTATGTGAGTGTGTGTTTCCTCCTGCCTTCTTGTACTGGCTCACTCTAGGTTATTAAGGGTGGCCAGTAAAACACAAGCAAAACACAAGGCAAAGAATCAAGCCTTCACGCCACGTGTCACGCCCGTCTCATGTAACCAATTTCTCGATTTTAATCAATCCAGCTGTCTACACCACCCGTTTGTCAGCTTGCGTATCACTCACGTCTTACCCGTGTAACTGCACGCTGAAGCCTATTGTTACGCTTCAACTTTTTTTTCTGGGTCATGAAACCCTCTTCAGAGATCAGCCAAAACAATGAAAGCTCACGATTTCAACCAGAAGCTACCTTCTCACTCCAAGCGTCTCTGTAGCAGCTCCCTCTTCTTATTGAGACAGACACAACACTTCTTCCCCCTGGTTAGCCTGCGCCAGCTCCTTCTCTACCTGGTTTCCTGCACACTGCCTCCAACGCAACTTCAATCTATCTTACCAGTGCTATGCAGCAGCCCTCATCCCTCCAGCCTGTCTCTGCGCTCCAGCCACTGGCACCTCCCCTCCGGCTACCCAACCGTACACCTTGCCCAAACCTGCAGCAAGTTCACACAAGTGATTTCCTCCCCTGTTGCCAGTGACCAGCACCCCACCCAGCACACCATAACACTTTTAGACCGAGATTTCCCTGTATTGGCATAAGCTGTCCCTTCTTTATTGCAGCTTTGCCAATTTACGCTGAACTAAAAAAAAAACTAGGATAATGGTTTCTTTTTACACAGATACAGGATCCCAGTTTTAGAGGTTGTGATGTTTACTTTGACGTCCAGTGTGCATATATAACACACGTTGGAAACACAAAGCCGTTGTTGCATTGGCAGATGGACAGAATAGGAATGTGCTTTTGCTCATCCTGCACATTCGCAACATGATTGTGCATCGTGTACAACATGTCTTTAAGGTCATAGATTCTGTTTCTTCTGAGGAAAATGAAAATTTAAATTCCCTGGTGTCAGAGAAACGACGCTTTTTCCAAACTTCGCACACCTCTGCCGACAGTACCCCCAAGTCACCTGTTCACTTTTACACAGAGGCCAAGGTGGAACAGTTGTGGCAGTTTTACTACCTCTTGCGGCAGAATAAAGGAAGGTCCACACTGACCCTCCGTACTGGCTTGGTACCTTGGTGCAGTAATCCCGCCTTGAACAGGCAGTCCCAAAGCTGCTATTGTGATTGGCTGTGGCCCCCACCCCAACAGGCACTCGAGTGTGCTTTTTCTCAACAAAGTTCTTCCAATGTGCCCAGTGTAGACACGCAGACCCGAGTTTTGTGCAGGGGTCATGTAGGACAATGTAAACGCAACCTCACACTCTTCAATAAACACACTTCCATTATTGATGAGGTGTATTCTCTCCTCCTACAAAATTTGGTTATATATATTGATTATATATTGTGTCTTTGTGTGGAGGAGTATGTGCTTTAGAAAGCAGGTAGCAATAGAGTGACAATGCAGTAGACTCTTGTACTGTAGCTTTAAATGTTAAGAGCAATGACAGCTTGTACCTGAGAGGGACGCACGCACGCATGCACAAAGGACTGGTGATGGGATGGAAATGGGGATTGCTGACTGAATTGTGGATTTAAATCTTTTCTTTCCATTTTAAATCATTTAAATTGAACCCTGTTGCAATAAAGTTTTATGGTAAAGCCAATCCAGAATAACACTATAGTGGCTGACACTGGCTTCAGCAACTGAAAGGAAATGTGGAAACATTTCCCTTTGTTGACCAAGTTGTCACGGTGTTGTCCCGCTTCAGGCTAGAAATGAGCCTTTCTGCCTGACACAAACATTTTTCTGCCTCTGTACTTGCTGTACACACAGTTGTCATAGAGACAAAGGGTAAAGCTGTGTGATCGCTCCATGACTTACAGTACTGCTCAATATATCCAGAGAGAAGAGGAGAGGCCAGAGTGATAACAAGAGGACTGGGGCTCTCATTGTGGCACCAAGCTCACATAAGCTCGAGTGCGGCTACAAACACAGCTTTTGTCTTGAGGGTAAGCAGTTCAGGCAGGGATAACACATGACCAAGTAATAGAAACTCAGTTTAAACTGGGTTAATAAAAGCCCAATTCAAGCAGTGTCAGACACAGCCAGCAAGTTACTGTAAACACACTTTTTTCAGTTTACATTTACACCGCCAGCAGGACACTGAAGTGACATAACGCTAAGACGGCCAGCAAGCTCACAATGGTTAATGCACCAGTAAGTGCTTTCATTATATGTTGCTAATGTTAATTGTATAATGAGCCACAGACCCTCTGCAGAGGCTTCCACAGCTCCCTGCACCGCTGGTGATGGCTGTTGTTTGCCGTCGTTTACATGGCTAACGCATTTTTTAAAAAATGACAGTGGTGCTGCAGCTAGTGTACTTGTATGTAATTCATGGTTCCTTTTGTGCATGGGGAGTACCTACTCTGAAGTAGGAGCTAAAAAGTCCTTCAAAACTGCATTCTGTGAACCATTATTGTTCTCAGTTTCTGCAGTGCGGGGACACAAAAAAGGGGAGCTTTGTCCTACAGTTCTAAGAGCTATGACAAGTTTCTCTGTTCTGAAAGTTCCTATTGTTACTTTCTCTGACAGTTGTAGAATAAGCATGCATCATCATATTTGTTAATATTATTTAAAAATGCAACAAACAGTACTGTGGGCACAAAAAATATTTTAGGTAGCATGTACTGTATCATGAAGTACTGGCATGCCACTACAGTTCTGCATTATATGTTGTTGTGTAAACAGGCAGCAACAATCTGTATATACCCCAATTCCAATGAAATTGGAACACTGTGTAAAACGTAAATATAAACAGAATACATTGACTTGCAAATCCTTTTTGACCCATATTTGATTGAATACACCACAAAGACAAGATATTTAATGTTCATACTGATAAACTTTGTTTTTTGCAACTCATCACTCATTTTGAATTTGATGCCTTCAACACATTTCAAAAGAGCTGGGACAGGGCTGTTTGGAACAGGTGAACACGTTTATTGGAAACAGGTGAGCATCATGACTGGGTATAAAGAAGCATTCACAAGCAAGGATGGGGCACAGTTCACCACTTTGTCAACAACTGCGTGAGCAAATAGTCCAACAGTTTAAGAACATTCATTCATTCATTTTCTACCGTTTGGTCCCTGAGCGGGGTCACGGGGGGGGCCGGAGGCAATCCCGGCCGGCAATCGGGCGAAGACGGCGTACACCCTGGACAGGTCGCCAATCCATCGCAGGGCCTCAGTCATTCACAAGCAAGGATGGGGCACAGTTCACCACTTTGTGAACTGCATGAGCAAACAGCCCAACAGCTTAAGAACAACATTTCTCAATGTACAATTACAAGGAATTTAGGTATTTCATCATGTACAGTCCATAATATCATCAAAAGATTCAGAGAATCCAGAAAAATCTCTGCTCATAAGCATCAAGGCAGTAAACCAACACATGACCCATGACCTTCGATCCCTCAGACGGCACTCCATTAAAAACAGACATCATTCTCTGAAGGATATTACCACGTGGGCTCAGGAACACTTTGGAAATCCATTGTCAGTTAACGCAGTTTGTCACAACATCCACAAGTGCAAGTTAAAACTCTACCATGCAAAGCGAAAGCCGTACATCAACAACACCCAGAAACGCCATCGTGACCCCGTTCAGGGACTAAGCGGTAGAAAATGAATGGATGAATATTTGCAAAAAACAATAGAGTTTATGAGTGTGAACATTAAATATCTTGTCTTTGTGGTGTATTCAATTAAATATGGGTCAAAAAGGATCTGCAAGTCAATGTATTCTGTTTTTATTTATATTTTGCACAATGTCCCAACTTCATTGGAATTGGGGTTTGTAGATCAGACCAGTTCATCAGGGGACAGCTGTGGCTCAGGAGGTCCTCACATGTCAGTAAATAAAATATGGTTTTTGGGGCTGTGTTATCACTGTGGGCTTTGTTGTGATGAGAATATTTCATTAGTTTTTGAAATTTAGTAGACAAATAATTGATAGAGAAAATAATGAACAGATTAATCAATGAAAATAATGATTAGTTGCAGCCCCAATAATCTACATGCCTGAACTAACACCAACCACACTGCTAGTTGCATGACTTTTTTGTGAATGTTGTGGCTTTGATCACAGTAACTCTGTAGTTAGCCATTTCGGTCACATGATAGACAAGTGTATTCATCTCCATGTTGTTACTCTGACCCACAAATACAA